CCTCTGGCTCCTACAATCCTTTCTCTCCCTCTTCTGCAGGATTCCCCAAGTTCTGCCTAATGTTTGGCTGTGGGTCTACATCGGTTTCCATCACTTTCTGGATAATGCTTCGAGGATGGCAATTTGGATAAGCACCAAGCTGGTCACAGGAGATGGCCAGTTCTGCTACTTATCTGCTTTCGGTAGGAGTCTTAGCTGGGGTCTTCCTTGTAAATTCCTGGGAGAGTCCCTTGTGCCAGGTTTTTACCTGACCCCCAAATTCACCACTCCCTTCACAGTAGTCTCTTTCTCTACTCTCTCCCTCACCCCTCCTCCCCCAACCCAATGGCTCCTGTTTCCATCCCCACCTACCCTCAGTACACGCCCCTCGGTCCATACCCGAGGGAGCAAAGGCAGAACTGCATTTTCAGATGAGTTAGAAAACTGTGGCTATTGTACTTTGCATCCACACTGGTCTCCTAGCAACAAGTCAGTCGGTGACTTCCACCAGGAAAAGGAAACCTGGAACTGGGGGAGCCGTCTGAATTCTTGCCTGCAGTCTGATCTATTTGAAGTTGGCTGGGAGACCCAGAAATCCAATCACCAGTGCATCCCAGGCCCTTCTCTTGACCTCGGCGGAGCACAGAGGGGGAAAGCAGATGAGAGGAGCTGGCTTCTTTCACAAGAATCTGCCTGGCTGGGAGCAGACATTCCCTTGGATTTGGGGAGGGGCATTTGAAGGCCTGTGCATATGGCACGGGATGGAATCCAATAAAAAGCAAGGAGCTGGGTGGGGGTCATAAGCCAGACTGGTGTCAGCCGCTCCCTGGGGAGCACAGGCAGGGAGTTCCCACGCAGTGTTGATTTTCCTCCGCCCTTCTCAGCTATAAAGTAAAAGATATTGAAGTCGATCCTCTGGGGTTTGTGTGCCTATATGTGTTCTTACACAGTTTCCCAAATACACCGTTATAAATCAGACTTTCTGATTCTTTGTGTGTGTCTGTCTCTGTGTGTATCTGTCTCTGTGTCTCCTTCCCTCCCTCCCTCCCTCCCTCCCT